TTTATTATTATTATTTTTGTTTTTTTTTCATTTATTAAACATATAAATTAACTCTTAACTCTAAGGTGTCATATAGTACATATAAATATATATTTTTTTGTATTCATTTAAGAATTATCCTATTTTTCTTCTACAATATTTAAATCTTTTTTGCCCTGCATTTTAAAAGCTGTAAACTTTGCCTGTTGCTGTTGATAGCCAAACTAGATGCAAGCGCGCTTTGATGAGCTACCCATTTGTCCTCATCTAGAATATCTATGTAGATCTGTAGCACTCACTACAAACCAGTCACTCACCTCGCAAACCAGTCAGCTCCAGCCCGTCTTTGTTGTGCGCTTTGTTTTGCCAAATTGAATAGGAATGAAAACAAATCAAATACATATACAATTATTTAGCAGCACTACGTCACATATAAATCACATTCAGAAACAAAGAGGTCTACATACTTTTTTCTATACATACCTTATACACGATTTCGCCATTTGCTGCGCATTTCTGGGGGAATCTTGATTTAAGACCTTAGCGAATTTTGGGGTATAAAGTGATAATATGTATTTTGTTAACAAATTCTTCTATGCAAATATATATTAGTTGCGCTTTGCTTAATTTATTAGTCTGTAGATTAATTAAATTTATTTTTCATAAAAAATATTTATTAATAAATTATAAACGTACAAATGGATAAACGGGCGATCCTATAGGATATATTAATATATTCTCAAACAAGGTCAATATTATTTTAAAACCTTTTTCTTTTAAAATCGATTTTAGACCCTCATAAATTTCCGCAAAAGTAAGCTTTCTTCGTATAGCCCAGCTTGAAACTTTTCGTTAAAAACTCGAGAGCCAAGTTTAATACTCATCTCGATTCAGTCAGCAAATCGTAGCCTACTCTTTGGCGCTGATTGAACTGCCACAAAACGAGAATTACTTTTTGGCCTGCATCGTGGAAGTATATTAAGACAAACGGGCAGATCAAGGAGAGCAACAGCTATAAAAGAAATATATAAATATATGCACGAAATGAAACGAGCGTATTGGCTCTGAGTATTGTTTATAACATTGTTTTTCTGTTTTTTGTATGATCTTCCACGAATCCATATATACATATATGTGAATATGTGAATTCAGGAACGGCATATCCTTTGGTAAATACACACAAACAAATGTGTGTAAATATCATAATTATGCTATAAACTTACATAACATATACACATTTCTAATGCCAGATCCAATTAACAGGAATTGATCCTCCCGCACCGTACTATGCTATGCTATTAACAGCATTATGTTAATAGCATAACTCTTACACTGTGTAAGTTATATCAGCTCACTTACTGGTTCACTGGTTCGCTGAGTACTTTATCTGTCATCCCCTTGACACTTGCCACTTGCCACTCCTGGTATTAACACTTCTATATTATATATATTATATATATAAATTGTACCCACCCCTTCGAACACAAATAAACAAAAAAGTATTCTTGCATTTTCACCCTCAGCCCATTGAACTTTACTTATTTGAAGTCTTTAGAAAATAATTTTTAAAAAACCGAAGGAGCTGATCTATGGATACTACAGCAATGTTAAAAAGTTATAGAGTTGAATATGCTTCAAGCTGCTTCAAATATTTTAAAGTCTATCAAGACTATACACAAACGCCTTTTGCATTGATATGTTTCCTCACCCTAAACTTTATAAAACATATCTAATTATATTAGCAAGGCCATTAACATAATAAGATGAGATCAAAATATCTTATATGGGACACATTGTTCAACTTATTCAAAAGAAACATTTACGAGCTGTGTGAATGTGCAGCTCTTCACTCAGCTAAATACATACGAAACTGAATAACTCAATCCCTAACTCATTTTTATTATAATCGAAACAGGTTAGCAATGACTCAAGACATTTCTGTTTTATTTTAGTTTAGTTTGATTTTATTTCAAAGTGCCAAAAGCCACGGCTGAGTGCAATCTTTAAAAATCCGCCTGCACCGAAAATCTTACTAACAGCAGATTCAAAGCATTTATGATTTACTTTAGAAGTTTGCGACACAAATCATCATAACCGGTTCTCAAATGGAAGCCAAAGGCACTTAACAACTCCAGAAAATACATGTTGAGTCGGGCATCGAAAACCAAGTCATTTGGCAATATTGAAAACAAAAGTAGCCATAGAAAATGTTTTAAATTGATTTGCTTTATGGCATAGTTGCTCAAATTAGCATATAAAATGCTTGATTATATTTCATATTTGGGCGGAAAACAAATAAAATCAAATAAATTCGGTATGTGTGTCAAACTTGTTTTCGCTAAACATCGCCTTAGAGATCACATTTTGAATGGCAAATCTTTATGAATTGGTCTGGTCTGGTCTAATTTGTCTGGTGTTTCATGCTAAGCAGCTCGGCTTTGTGACAAATTGCGAACGAGTTAGCGAGCGAGCGAGCTTTGGGGCTCAATCCATCCAAGTGCTGAACACTATATCAGCATTTTCGAGTTCGCTAATTTGTTAATGTGGGCGTGGCTGTGAAACCCATAACTCACAGCCATAATTGACTGATGCGCCCGAACTGGTCTCTCAGTGGCCACCAGCCAAAGCTGTCGCTGTATAAAAGCCATCGCTGGGCTCCACAGCGGCATCAGTCAACGATCGTTCTCTGTGTTCTACGACGAAAAAAATAAATAAATATGTTCAAGAAACCAAAAATGATTGTTTTCCAAGCCGTAAGTAGCCGAGTGTCTGGGATTAGCTCTGGTTAATAAGCACTGCTTGTAGGTGATGATTTCCGTCATCTTGGGCATGGCTTGCGGCTCGCCGCTTAAATCGCCTATCTTTAAAAGCCTGGCCCGTCCTCCCGTACGGGTGGGAGTTCCCCAAGTCAGAAGTGATGATGTGAACGCCGTTGTGCTATCCCGGACGGATGATGTGCGTCCCGATGGATTCGACACAAGCCTGGAGACCTCCAATTCTATCAGTGGCGCCGCCAGCGGCGATGCTTACGGCAACATCCACGGCTCCTTCAGCTGGGTCTCGCCCGAAGGTGTGCCCGTCTCCCTAACGTATGTCGCCGATGAGAACGGCTATCAGCCACAGGGCGACGCTCTGCCCACTCCCCCACCAGTGCCAATCGAAATCAAGCGCGCTCTGGCTTATATTGCTGCACATCCTCCAGCACCCGAGGGCCAAAATGTGAGGAAAACCATATTTGGCTAATCAGCTATGATTTAGTAATAATTCAATTGGAAGTCTATTGAATATAAAAGCGAGCAGAACAAATAAAAACTTTCAAATGAGAATGTTAAATATTCTACATTTTAATTTTGATAATGATTATTGAAGGTTTTGTTCCGGGTTTTCATACCCATTGATTATGTGACATCAGATCCCATAAAGTATGTCCATGCTTGATCAGTGCGACGAGCTGAGCCGATCTAATGCGCGATTGTTCGTCCGCCTGACTGTTTACAATTTAAATGAATATCAGCTCATTGCAGAAATATCAGGGTATCTTCTAGTCAAGCAGTCTCTGACTTGGTTGTCTACTTCAGTCACACTGCAGGTCCATTACTCGAAAAGCTTGGTGATTAGCATTTTACTACCTGAGCTACGATTTCAAACACCTTTCGTATGTTGAGCCCATTTTTACGAGGCACTAAAGATAATTTGAGCCGTACGACCGGACAGATGGAAAGATTTGACTGGGTTAAATCGATCGTAAATCGATTTCTTTATAGACAAGTTTCAATAAATCTCTCTCTGTCTCCCTCTTTCTCTCTCTCTGTCTCTCTCTCCCTCTCTCTCACTACTGATCGCAGCTTATTTGAGAACGCTGCTGAAATGGTTCAAGCAGTACAACTACAAAAACATATGCCTCTGGGCTGGGCCTTTGCCGTATATCATGTTTGTGGAAAACAATTATGTGGAGGTAAGCAAATCGAATAGGCTTTATATATGTACGTATATCCTTTTGATTTCTGTTCGCCCTAGTATATATTGAGCAGCACTGCTCTGACCTACAAGTATGAGCCGTACAACTTGCTCTATCCGTGGCTGGGCAGTGGCCTGCTCACTGGCAATGGCCCTCAGTGGGCGGTGCGGCGGAAGCTGATTACGCCTTCATTCCACTTCCGCATCCTGAGGGACTTTCTGCACATTATGAACGAGACGAGCGGCCGTTTCATGAAGCTGCTGGAGCATGAGTCGGAGGCTGCACAGGGCGCTGCGTTCGATGTGCAGGCGCTAGTCACTCGGAACACAATTGATGTCATTTGTGGTGAGTGCGGYTCAACTCAACTCAACTCAACTCCAGTCAATATTCCATTGTTATCGACGCTCACCTGCTGCAGAGACGGCAATGGGCACTCGTGTGAACAGCATTGAGGGACGACCATCGCCGATTGTGGGCGCCATCGACAGCCTCTGTCACATCATCTCCGAGCGCGTCTTCTCGCTGTTTAAGCGCTCCGACAGCTTCTTCAAGTGCACCCGGCTATACAAGCAACAGCAGCAGGCATTGATGACGCTGCGCACTGAGTTCGCTCAGGTTGGCAAGTGATGGAAGCATACCAATGGCCTCGGACTCAACGATTTTTCATTTGTTTGCATAGATCATTGAGCAACGTCGCCGCCTGCTTCAAGCAGCCAGCTATGAGGCCCCACAGCTGGACGATGACCTGCTGGACACCAAACGACCCAAAATGGCTTTCCTCGACAATCTTCTGACTGCCGAGGTGGATGGTAAGCCGCTGACATTTGAGGAAATATTTGAGGAAGTCTCCACGTTCATGTTCGAGGTAAGTTGGGATTAAATTAAAAAAAAAAAAAAAAAAA